TGATTTTGAAGTTTCCGGCCCGACTGAACTTTCAAAGCGCCTCGTCCGCGCGCTCGCTTCGCGCAACGCTCCTTAATCGGGAAATGAAGTAATCCGTAGTCCAATCGTAATCGAGCCTCGTTGTTTTTCGGGCTCCGGGTTGTTTTCGGTTGTTTGCGAGGTTGGTTGCGAAGGGAAGAAGGCAGGGGGGTGGTGCGGGATCGCGATCGATCGTTTTTCCGCGAACATGGTAAAATGTTTCTCCCGTGTACGCAGGTGGTAGCACTTTCGAGAAGCACGACCACTACAACGGTTCGCTGCTGCATTTCTACCGTGTCGAGAGGCGGCAAATGGGGGCGTATCTCTGCATCGCCAGCAACGACGTGCCGCCAGCGGTTAGCAAGCGAGTGACGCTCGCTGTGAATTGTAAGCTCCATTCACTCGCACGATCCCTTCCAATCCGTCACGATCCGATTCGCAGATTACATTTTCACCGAAAGTAATTCTGCTAATATTTTTTTTTTTTTCCCCCATGCAATAGAGACGCGTAAGTTATCGCGATTTGAAAGAGAAAATCGCCGATACTCCGGAGAGGAAAGCTCGAATAAAGCGAGCTTTCAAAAGGAAAAAGATGTAAATTTGATTTTTATTGGGAGGACAATAATATTATTTGCTGCAAAATGAAACTGGTTGCTCATTTCGTTTCTAACTTAATAAGCCCCAAAACAAATTTCGTTCGAATATCTGTCTCGAGCGTAATATTAGCTTCAAAAAGCTGTTTCATATCGAGAGGTAAAATTTAAAGTTAATTTAGAAATTTCACGGAGGAACAAGCAGGAAGTAAGCTTGATTTTGACGTGCGCGTTCGTACAGATAAGAATCAAATTTTCATTTCCTCCTTAAAAAACGAGCCTTAAAAACTTCCCTCGTACATTCGGGGAAAAGGCTCCGCTCACATTTTCTAGACTCATTTTATTTTCCATAGTCGCACCAGTCGTAAAAGCACCCAACCAGCTATTGGGCGCTCCTCTGGGTACAGACGTGCAGCTCGAGTGCTACGTCGAAGCGTTCCCGAACACGATCAATTATTGGGTGAAGAATCAACGAGGCACGGAAGACGAAATGTTATTGGAAGGGTGAGCCCCCCGCTCGTTATTTTCTTAATACAAATAATCGCTCGTGGTGATATAATTCGAGGTATAAAATAGCGATAAAATCCATACAGCATGAAACTTTTTGGCGATGCCGATAAATCTCGATCTCTGCAACGTCATAATAACGTGAGATAATAAATATTCCTGATTTTGCAATAACAATTCCAAGTGAAAAAATATTTCTCTGCAATAATTCAAATGTGATAAATGTGTTGTTAAATCGACCGCAAAACGTCACTCTTTTTTATTGGTTTTCAATATTAAATCTTCAGTAGTAAATAAATATTTGTCAGTCACGTAGCATAATTATTGCTGAAAGATCGCCACTAAATTTTCGCGAAAAAGTCCTCTGGATCCCACCGAGATATGGAATACGTTTCAATGTTGCCGTATCTCGCACAACAGTACGTTGTACGGCAATATAACGTGCACGTGCGTGACGATATAAATATATAATTCTGCGATGTTAACGCGGGATGTTTCTGCACGGCACGGAAAAGTGGCACCGAAAGGGCGCGCTCGTTCAGCAGAGACGAATATTTTTCACTTTCCCTCCGGTTCTGGAAAAAAAACAAGCCTTTATAAACTTGTGTCATCCGTGTGATTCGTAGACCGAAATATAGCGTGCGGGAGGAGCGCACGGGATACACGGTTCTGATGTGGCTCTTAATCAAAAAATTCACGGATAGGGACGTCGGTAGTTACAAATGCGTCTCAACGAATAGCTTAGGAAAGGCGGACGGGACTTTGAGATTATACGGTGAGTTATGCACTCGCGATCTAAAGAACACGCGCTTTGCATTCTGATACGCCCTGGGACTTTCCAACCGAACCGTCCTGTTCACTTTCAGAGATTAAAATCGGCTTCGACAAAGTGGGATCACGTGGGAAGGATCACGTATCTATTATCGGTGGTAAGTAGAAAGTGGATCGCCGCTCATGAACACATCGTCGGTCCCGATTGTTGCGATGGAAAGTTTGGCGGTCGGGGATCGCCTTTTTCTCTCCTTTTCTCAGTGAAAGGGTGCGATTTTTTTTTCTAGGTCTAGCCGAGGCCGCTCAAAGTTCCGGCGCCAGCAGCGGCGTCGACGGTTTCTCCGGAAGTGGTAGCAGCTTGTCGCATATCCTATCGATGTTTTTCTTCATACCGATACTGTGGCCACGGTGAAGAAGGCATCCACTACTG